TTGAACTTGACAGGTTTAACGACAGCTCTCATCACCGGTACATAGTACATGTTCTTCACTCCCGCCCCCCTTCCATGTAACTAACTGCAAAACACGACATGCCACTTTCAATTTTTTTTTTTTTTGACGATTGTGTTGTCATCTATAAAATGTGTTTCTAATAGATTTACATGTCTGACGATAAGACTTTTTAATCTTTAAATATAGTTAATTTTACTAGGTATTAAATAATATTTTTTTTCTACACCCACATGGATATTAGCTTATCTACGCACATACTATAAAACGAATATATTTTATATCCATTCGATGTAGTGAGAACACTGCAAAAAAATGAAATCCACCAATCACAGTTCATATTTTGGTCACCCGACGACTATTATTTTTAAAATTTTAAATAAGTTTAGTGACAATTCTATCAAACTAATTGTCAGCATATTTTTTAGTTATTGAACTTTAATATACATTAAAATGACTTTTTTTGTGTAGAATCGATAAATTATATAATTTCTATTTTTATTTATACTATAATTATAAATAATTTGTTAATTTTAATAAAACTCTATGTAGTCACTTCAATTAGGAGTAATAAAAAAATTTCCCAAATATGCCGTTGGATGGGTGGTGAGAGTATCTGACTTCCACCCGAGAAACCCAAGTTCGAGCCTCTTCTGAAGACTTTTAAATACATTTTTTCATCATTTATTTTATTATTAAAAGTCATAAATTAATTTAAAGTTAGTTATTTTGTCTTAATAACCTAAAATATTTTTTGTTTGTAAATTTTCGTTAGTGGGTCATAGAAAAAATATACTGTACAACTCGAGTGGACGTGATGGCCATATCCATTCTTGTTGCACAAACTACTATTTTAGTCTTCTACAAGGATTTATTCTTTCTATCGTCATCCTTCATATCCGTCTTCAACTTATTTGGAATAATAATTTAAAATCTGTAAAATATAGATACTTGTTTGTAACGATTCCATCATTTTCATTTCTGTTAGTTTCAATTAAAAAAGGAACATTATCATTTTTTGAAATTAAAATTGTTTTCAACATCAGTATTCCCCACTCGACCATTCACTGTTCAGTGCTGTTCCTAAAGTGGCGCTGGGAAACAGTAACAACGCCTACACATAACACAAGGCGAAATAACTATAGTAATTGAATATTAGTCTAAAACAAACATGAAAAACCTATATAGAAAAATCATCTTTAATGAAAATTATTTATAATAAAAATAATAGTTCTCTTTAATTTGTCACTTACGTCTTGAAGATTTTAAGACGTAAAATTGACAAGCTGTAATAATGTCTATGCTTTCTCAGTGCATCCAATCTCATCTAGAAAATCGAAAATATCCAAATTTGGTACTCCCTGGTAAACACCCTATATCATAAATTATTGTAGATGCAAGAATAGGTTGTTTTTTTCGTCAAAATAACGTAAGTTGGGAAAGAGAATGTTATATCAAAAGCTGCGGGCCTAGATGGCCTTTAGAACTGATATTAACCCGACCCGGTATTCGACCGGAATCTCTTAGCAGGTGAGAAATCTTTCAAATTGATAAAAATAAAGTAGGAATACAAATTCTTAAAAGCTTAAAAAAAGTGATATTAAAATTTTTGCTGTTTTCCATAGAAACTAAAACAAATTTTGAAACAGTGGTTCCAGCGAAACCTTTATTTACATAAAAAGTTATCCACAAAAAAATGTTTCTAAAGTAGACCATGATCGACAAATACAAAGATACGATTTATGTCCCATGTCCGCAATAACTACGGACGATTCTGAATTACATTCAAACTAAAACTTAAAAAGAAGAAGAATAATTTAATGCTCCTACTTTAGAAACATTTCTATGAATCATTTTATATTTTTTCTCTTACGTAAAATAAAAAAAATATTTTAAAATTTTGAATGTCTATATTTTCACTTAATATTACCTACTAGACAAAAGATAATTGGCAGAGTAAAAATAAAAATCTGTATTCTTTATTTTGACAAAATCTGTGCGCAATTAAATCATTGAAACCCAGCGTTGAGCGAGACAGATTTACGATTACAATTATAGTTCTGTTTTGTCTGTATTACCATTGTTTATGTTTTATGTTAGAGAGTAAAAACAATAATTAGAGTCAGAAATTTAGTGTTTTAAAAGGATGATATAGATTAAATAAATACCCTCGCCAACCAATTTTTTTTATTTAAAATATAATAAAGCAAACCAATAAAGCTGTAATATATCTTCTTTTATAGGCGTCTCTATAATACCTACTTTTCTACATAACATTTTTCTTTTGGTAAAACAGATTTTTCTAAAACACACAAAGTGAAAACGATATTTCGGAACAAATCATGCGCTGTATACCATTTTTGTGTAGAGCGCATGATTTGTATCGTAATATTACCGTTTTCGCGCGTATTGGAACAAACCTATTATAACACTACACGCGCGAACTTATAGAAAAAATATATGTTGTAAAGATCTGTAAAAATTCAAGAGATAAACCTTTTGAAGGGCAAATTTCATGGGCCCATCTTGACAACGTCGCAGGGACTCGTGTGTACATTGAAAACGTAATTTATAAACAGGGGGCCTCGCATGTCAGTTAAACATTGTTAAGGGACTCGCATGTACGTTGTAGACATGTATGTTTACATTTTAGAAATATCTAACCCCTCCTGTGGGGTTATAGTTTAAAATTATTAGTACATTCCAAAACATCAAAACATATATATATATATATATATATATATATATATATATATATATATATATATATATATATATATATATCATTTTGAAATTATGTTGTCCTGTCCCCCTGGACAAATTCCTGCCTACGCCCATGAAAATTCCTATAAATTTGATAAACAAAATGGCGTCACTCATCTCAGAGAAGAGATAAAGTTAATAAACCTAACCTAAACAATCATTTTAATACTCGCCTCAATTTCTAAAGACATTTCTGCCTATTCTGCTTCCCATAGATATAACAACAGCACAACGCATAAATAACGAAAACAAAAAAAGGAAATGACAAAAACCGAAAACTCAAATCTATAATTATTTAGAATATAGGGTTGTTTCCGGCTGGACATAGGATGAAATAAAATAACTACATATCCCATCTTCATCTTCTTACAAATCAGAAATTCTTCATTAATTGTTGGCCTTTTACAACATAACCCGTTTAGTAACCTTTTGTGTAACATGTATACCATGTTTCACAAACATTTTTAGTGAAATACACTGACCGGTACAAAAAGAGAATCACAGATAATTTTTAAAATATTTCGGATATTTTTTATTGTCAAGTTGCTAATAAGTATATTTGGCGTATTTTTTGTAACTTATTATTATTTTATCAATTTTTTAGGGCCTAAAAATTTACTTCAGTTTGACATTAGTTTTCGACTTGCGACCTTCGGTATTAATTTATTTCGACCTAAATTTAATTAATTAACGTACATTTATTCAAATAATGGCACTCTCACCAACAGATGCTGCTCGCGCCATTGCTCTTATTGAGGATGGTCGTAGTTAACGTTATATAGCTAATCTTCTTGGAGTATTACAGGCGAACATCCATAGAACATATAGGCGTTTTGTTGAAACTGGAAATTACACTAGAAGACCTGGTTCGGGCATGACAAGTTCCACATTGCCTGTAGACGATCGTTTTTAACATCTTTTTATTCTTCGACATCGGGATGCCACTGCTGTTCAAGCAAGAAATCGACTTAAAGAAGTTCGGGAAGTGAATGTAAGTAATAGAACAGTAAGAAGACGCCTGAATGCAGTTGGCTTAATTGCTCGAAGGCCTGCCAATGCCCCAGAACTTTTCCCACATCATCGAGTAGCTCGTCTTCAATTTGCTCGAGAGCACCTTTTTCATTGGAACATAATTCAATGGAGCCTAGTGCTCTTTTCTGACGAGTCTATATTTTGCCTAAGATCACCTGATGGTCGCCAAAGGGTATGGAGAAGAGCTGGAGAAAGGTACGCACAGTGCAATATCGTTCCACGGGTTAGTTTTAATGGTGGGTCGGTAATGGTTTGGGTGGACGGACTACCGCACGGAGCTTGTCGTGATGGAAGGAGGATCATTGAATGCAGACCGGTATATAAGAGAAGTTTTACAAAATGACGTCATTCCATTTGCACCTCTAATTGGCAACAATTTTATTCTTATGCATGATAATGCTCGACCACATGTTGTCAGTATATTATTGACATCAGTATTGAGACAATGGAATGACCACTCCGGAGCCCCGACTTAAATCCCATTGAACATGTCTGGAACATGATGGGCAGACAACTTAGATCGCGTGTACCAGCTCCAGACACCTTGTAAGAACTTAGAAATATGCTAATTTACATATGGAACAGTTGGACCAAAATGGCATAAAAAAGACACTTGGTGGAAGGGATGCACAGAGGGGGCAATACCATTTATTAATTTAATTTTTTTGACATGTATAACTGATTTTATATGGTTATCTGAAAATTTGTTTTAATTAAATATTGACACTTTATTTTTCTTTTACTTTATTACAATGTTAATGACTTTTGTTATTACGGATCCAAGCTTAAATAAGTGTTAAATAATCTTAACAATAATACACGGTTACCAAATCCAAGCCAAAGCAAAAATAAATATACATTTTATGATTTTAAAGAAAATATTTTAGTGATTCTCTTTTTGTGCCGGTCAGTGTATTTAACTAAAATATTTCAGAAATATTTCAGAAATATTTCAGAAATACTTCAGAAATATTTCAGAAACTTGTACTTGAAATGATATATGTTTGAAACGTTTGAAATATTTGTGAAACACTTCTGAAATAATGTGTGATGTTTGAATTTTTTCACGTGGGATACAGGTATTGTTGAATATCCCATATTTTATTAATTTTTACTTATGTATAAAAGTATATGAAAGTTGTATATTAAATAAAACACAATATTATTTCTTTTAATAATTTATTGCACTGGTATCAAAAATAAATATTTACTTAAGACTTATCTGATTTAATAAGCTAAATAGCTTTATCTGTATTTTTGTCGTTTATTTATTATTTTAAATTCTTTTGAATCCAAGGTAGGAACTTTTCTACCCTTGTGTAAACTCCTGGATACTGTCCTTTTCCACAACCTATACCCCAAGACACAATACCAACTTGGGTCCATTTGCCATCATTTATCATCAAAGGTCCACCACTATCACCCTGAAATAAACAAATAACGAATACATTCTTGAAAAAGATACACAAAGTTTGCTCAAAAGTAGATATCGTAATAATTATGTAACATATGAGACTTTGCATATAATTATGTAACACAAGAGACGCTGCAGTCCCAAATGAACTTACAAATTTAATTGAAATATTTCTTCATTTTGGTGTTTCTTTAGTGTATTTCCCTGTTTGTAATTTTAGATAAAAGTGTAGGTTATGAAAGAAGTCCTATAAAACTAAATGCGTTTTACTTCCCTTCAATCTAACATGAATTCCAGATCTACAAGGCTTACACTAGTTGAGATGTGTCTTCTGCACCATAACAGAAGCGACACATATCACAGTCTCCTACTAACATATTCTATTAAGTTGCATAAGAGATTGTTAGTTAATAGAATTAAAAGCTTTTAGTGATTCCTGGTTATCTGACTTTGACATTTCAGGCTACAAACTTGTATTGCAATTAGGTTGTAGGCTCATAAACACCAATTCATACTGCAGCATTCAACCCTGGTCCTCGGCCATCCCAACTTAGGCAGCTGCCAATTAACTATTTCTTAAGGAGAGTAGACGATCAATCTGGGAGGCATACAATCCCTTGGTAGAGTTACTGGTATAAACTGGACTGATTTAATTATCTTTAGATATCTCACGGTTTAATATTTTTCACTATAGATTTCTGTATAGCAGTTGGGCTGCTTAGTCAAGCGGATTTGCCTCTAATGCAGTTATGGCGGTTGAGACATAGAAAATAGTGCTGCGTTTAGCATTGAGGTAGGTATGAATATTTTCTAGTTCCATTGTACGATTTTCAGATATATATTTTATAGAGGCTACTCAAGCCTATTATATTGCGAAATTTGCAGAAATTTTATTATTTGTTTTGATCCAGTAGTGCTATTAGCTTTGCGAGGGATTTTGTCATATAGCTTGAGTCTACGATGCCCTATTAACAAATTACGACGTTGAGTATCTTTCTGTCTTTTACAACTAATTCTGTTCTGAATTTAGGCGACATTTTCCTCCACAATTGGAGAGATTCAATTTTGATGGATTGTTTTGGTTTTTGTAGAGCTTTAGCATTATTGGGTCTTGTTTGACAACTATATCTGTTTTTTTAGTTCAGCTTTAGTAACCTTATTGCAGTTACCCAGCTTATGCAAAGCACACACAGACTTTATTTATAGTATTCAGTTAACTTTATACCTACTTAACTTAGTGCCTTTGACGATTCTTACAGCCGTATGCATAGTCAATCGCCAGCGATTCGCCAGCGGATCGCTGCTGATACCGTCGAGATGAATCTCTGGCGACTTGCAGGAGACTGTTACCAACATGTCATCTCTCGCAAGTTTTCATGTTATTTTATAGGAAAAATTAGTTTTCATGTTGTTTTATGGGGATAAATTTGATATTCGTTTTTTGAGTTTTAAGAAATGAATCATGAATAATATGCGGGAGATGCCGGTGACAATCTCCAGCAAATCGCCACCTTTTCGGGCTTTCGCCAGCGGATCGCTGGAGATACGCCGGCGAATCGCTGGCCATCGACTATGCATACGGGTGTTGGAATTACTTCAGTGAAGGAGGTTCATCTTCAATACAACTCAATTTCAAACAGATCATTGGTATTCAGTTGAATTTTAAAATGTGTATGTATGAGTGCGTATTAGTTGAGAAGAAACCATCTAAATATTAAAATGTTTGACACAACAAATTCATTTGATTGGGGAATCACATTATATTGTAAAACAATAGTTTATATCATTGGTAATAGGCAAAACATAAGAAGAGTATATTATTTAAAGATTTTAAAATAACTGTTACTTACACTACAGGAATCTCTATTAGCTTCCCCGGCACACAACATATGTTCGACAATACCTCCCGGAGCAGCTGAACCATACTTTATTTTACAGTTAAAGTTATTCCAGATTGGAATATTAACTTCTTGTAGCACAGCTGGTTGTGGCCCACCTGAAGAGATGAATTAGATAATTATTGAAAACATTTAGAAATACAACTTACTCTCTCTTAAACTTCCCCATCCGATTACTGTTCCCGTTTTCCCAGTTGGATCTGATGTACCGAGAGGAAGGCAGATAGATCTGATCTGTTGACTAAAATCTATTGGACTATCCAGGGTTAATATGGCGATATCGTTATACTGAAAATGATTTTATATTAAAAATGCTCTAAAATAAATTATAATGTAATTTACCAGTGTTCTGGAATCGAATCCTCTATGCCGTACCACCCTTTTTACTCTTTTCTCGATATGTCGAGTTTCTGAATTTGATTTGATATTATGGTCGCCAAGTCTAACAGTAAGTCTCGCTACATCCCAGGAACTCATACTAAAAATTAAAATATCTAATAGTACTCGTATTTTCATTTATTTTATATATTGTCACGCTTTATATACATTCATATTTTTCCAAATTAATTATTTAAATAACACTCTATACATTTGAAAGAAATTTTTAAATTCAAATACCAGCCCGAGAATCCTGGAAACAGGGACCTCCCGTACAGGCTGAACTCCTCTGGTACACAGACGGTTCAAAAACCAAGGAAGGGGCCGGAGCTGGAATCTATGGACCCAAATCATTTCACTGAGTTTAGGAAAATATGAAACAGTGTTCCAGGCTGAGCTAATAGCCATACAACACTGTGCAAGAGAAATATTAAATCAGCAAGTATCAGGCAAAACTATTGCCATATACTCTGATAGTCAAGCAGCTCTAAAGGCAATTCTCTCACCAGAAATCAAATCACGACTGGTGAAAGACTGTCTAGAAGATCTGACAGAGCTAAGTAGTCAAAATAAGGTGACCTTAGCCTGGGTTCCAGGCCATGAGGGATATCAGGGCAACGAAAAGGCCGACGAAATAGCCCGAGAAGGCTCAGATAAGGCCATGACAGGCCCCGAACCCTTCTGTGGAGTTGCTAAGGCATTGTGCAATGCATCCATTAAACAATGGATGCAAAAAAAAGTCTCAGAAATGGTGGAACAACTATCCAAGACTGAGACAGGCCAAACAGTTCATCAAGGAACCATCGGCCAAGTTTACGAAAGACCTACTGGATCAAAAGCATCAAATCGTTAGGATAACAGTAAGCCTTCTTACTGGACACTGTCGCCTCAAAAGACACATGAGTGTCATAAATCCAGCAGAAGAAGCAACTTTGTGCAGGTTCTGTGAAGAAGAAGAGGAAACATCATTCCACGTCCTGTGCCAATGTGAAGGCTTGGCTGGAATAAGGTTTCTAACATTGGGTGAAGAAAAGCCAATTGCATGCAACTACATGCGGGAGCCACTGTCAAAGCTACTAAGTCTAATAAAAAAGACCAGGCTAGACGACATACTCTAAAACAAACGGAGTCCCACAATAGATCTGAAAAGGTCGCGGTGGACAAGGACAAATAACGTCCAACTCCTAATCTAATTTAATCTAATCTAAACACTCTATACACAAAACATTGTTTAATTATGTCGTCAATTTGTTTTAAGTTGCAATCATGTACGAGGTGAGTATTTAATAATGATTATTAAACACTAGTCTAATAACAGTAAACTATGGTAAAGTAATCTCGAGAGGACACAAAAGACTATTTCCAACGGGCAGGATTCTCTGCTTAGGAGATCCTCCTTCAAAATCGTGCATATGTCCTAAAAATGCCCTCTTTCTAATAAAAAAAGAATCATAGAAATCGGACAACGCAGTAAATAATTATCGGTGAACAAACATAAAAAAAATATTCCGATGAATTGAGAACCTCCTCCTTTTTTAAAGTCAGTTAAAAATATAAATTATAAACTTACTGCGCTACACAATGTGCTGCTGACAAAATATGCTGATTGTCAATCAAGGACCCTCCACAAAACTGTCTTCCTCCATTAAACAATGCTGCAATCCAAGGCCACTCATTCACCTGAGCATTATGTCCTCCAACTATTCTCTTCTGATCTTGGTAACCATTTTTAGTCCCACAACTCCCACTTGGAAGAGCTGGAGAAGGAGGTACAGTAACATGAGAAGGAGGCTTAGTTGCGGGAGGTTTAGTTGCGGGAGGCTTGTAAGTTGGGTACGTGGGTGGTTTATAAGTAGGTTGGTAAATTGGGTTAATTGGTTTTAAAGTGGGAGGCCAAGCTGTAGAAGCAATGGTAGGGTATCCATGAGAAGGTGGATGCGTTGGTAGAGGCGGAATCGTGTTATCAGGAGAATGAGTTGGAAGGGGAGGGGGCCAATTAAATAACTGCGGGTAGTAAGGTATTACACTCTCGTTGGCATTGAACGCATCTACTACTGTGTCTTCCGGTTCTATAATAGGTTGATCAGTTGATGATGCAGCAGTTGATGGATCTGTTGGCTTGCCAGGGTTTGGATTTGTACAACACACACCAAACATCTAAAAAAAGCAAAGAGAGTAAAAAAATTATCTAGTAATTTAGGACTCTTCCTGCTGTCCGAGATAAGACGGAACTGGCGGAAATTGAATAATAGTGATGTTTTAATTTTTACTTTTATCAAAGTTGCAAAAAAACTTTCAGCTATTTTCATAACTAAATTTAAGAAAATATATCATAGGATCCCGGAATCGTTAATAAAAGGAAAACTTGTAAAAAATCATTTTTTAAAACATTGTTAATGGTAATTTAAATTTAATATCAAGAATGGTTCCAAGAAATTTCCTATATAGAAATTTTCTATTTTGTTTTTATAGTAGCTTTTCTAGTTACACAAAAAGTTCATACATGGTGACCAAACGAAAACGAGCTATTACTATCATGACTGTGTCAACATTTTAGACAAACGCTTGGACCTGTCAATTTTTGATTAAAGAGAGACATCTTTCTATCATATTCTCAACTGCCATACGTCATTCCCGCTTCTTCTAAACTCTAACCAATACAAATTAAATAGAGATAGTCCACATACTTTGATTACTATACGATGCAAGAGAGAGGTCCGAGACGCCCAACATAGGACGCGGCCATTTTGATTCCTATGCCACAGTTTATTGCTAAAAGAATCAGATCGCTCACTCTGCGTCGGCACTTTTGATCTCAATGTTCTAGTTTATACACTGCGCAACTCGGATAATACAATATGTGACAACCACCTATAATAAAACAGCAGTCTTCTGCGTATCCTGAATTTGTATCTCTGTAGTGGATGTTATTTTGGAACTATCAACTGGTCCGAGTGAGCTAACTGATTCTTTAGCAATAAACTGTGACTCCAAAAATAATATTCACTGACATTGACAGAGCGTTTTAATCATCCGCTTCTGCTTCCGGAATTGTCGGTTTAGTCGTTTTAACCTGTCAGATTAAAACAAGAAAACCGACAATTCCGAAGCAGAAGCGGATGATTAAAACGCCCCTATTATAAATATTGCGCCAATATGTAGGCAACACGTAATAAGGGATCAAAATGGCGTAGTTTTCTCCTTTTAAAAGGCACTCAGAAAGCTGCGCAGTGCGACCATTCTACGTATAGTAAAAGAAAATCAATGTATGTGAGACAGTCCAAATATGACACATCATTGAACTTTTTTAAGAAGAATTCAGCAATATAATTTTTCATTGAGTTAATTTTGATTATATCGCCCTCTAGTGAGATAAACAACTTTTAAACATTGTAAAGTTTGACACTTTATTTGGAAGCTAATTTTAATAATAATTTAATGCATACATAACATAAAACGTTAAATAATTAAAAAACCTTCCAGACATCTAACGCAATCAACAAAAATAACAAATTTATGCTACGCATTAAAGTAGCATAAAATTAGCTTTCAAATGAAGTTTCACATTTTAAAATACGCAACAGTTTATCCCGCTAGGGGGCGTTAAAATCAAAATTAACCCAATAAACAGTCTGAATTTTCCATAAAATTACATTTGCAATAATGTGTCATACTTGGTACTTTCCCTATTTAAATTGTATGGTTCGAGTGGCGGAAAAATAAGGGAAAGGACGTATGGCAGTTGATGACATGATAGAAGGAATATTTAAAAATTGACGAGTCCAAAGGTTTGTCTAAAATGTTGACGTAGTTTCTAATAATGGCTCTGTTTCGCGAATTCACATTAAGTGACTCACCTAGCGGAAAACGACAGCTTTGTTGCTCGCCTAATTTAAATTAGATATAATATAATAATATTTCTTTTTAATAAATGATTTTCAAGTTATTTATACGTAGTTTGATGTGTTATTGTTTTATTATCCAAGTTAACATTGACTTTGAATATCAACATGATTAACTTAGTTATAGGCAACACATTATACACTACTTACGACAAATTTTCAGTTTTTATATCTATTTTTTAAAATAATGTGATCGTAGAAAAATCTTGTGTGCATTTTGTGCGAAAAGTTCGACAGATTGCTATCTTTCTGTCTCAAGTGGCAAAGTATCACTTCTCGCTTTTAATACACAAATAACTATTTTCAATTATTTTATTCTGAATCAATCATCTTCAAGATCCAGTTTTAATTTTAATAGATTATATTATATTTATTTACATATTTATTGATTGAAATGATCAATAATTATTATTGTTGACTTAATATCAAAGTAGGCAACCCATAATAGTAGTTTGTGCAACAAGAGTGGATATGGACGGTTTATTTTTTTCTACGACCCACTACCGATAATCTACAAATTTTAAAAATTATTTTACGTTACTAATTTAAAAATAATTTCGACATTTACTAATTTATAAAATGAAATAAAAAATTAAATAATTCCTATGTTAAGTTAGTCAGATTTTTTATAATTTTGACAATTAAAGCTTAAAAAAGAGCAAGCATGGGATACATGTATAATGTATACCTAACTGAAAAGAAGGTGTAAAACATTGTATAATATTAACATAAACGTGGATGCTATTTAAAAAGTGAATGTTAACGATTGTTTCTAAAGGGTGATTTGACAAGAGGTTGATTTGAGTTCAAACTCTAAAAGATTTTTTCATATCATATACAGCATATTTTTTTTTATTTTATCTTATCAAATAACTCAGATATTAGCTAGCCAAAAACCATCGGGCCTTCTTTCATAATAACAAAATTCACCTCAATTTTGTGTCATTTTTACTTACTCTTTGATTATTAGATATTTGCAAATGGGATTCATATCTTAGGTATTTTTTCTTTGACAATTATGTATCGATCCACAAAAAATTCCTTGTACTACTAATAAGTTCTTGAAAAAAGAAAACTAACTATACTTTTTCTTACCTGTCGTCCTTGAGCTGTATAATAACTGCAGGTATCATACATTCCTAGAACCCAACTTTCAAAATTTCCAAATTCCGCAATTTTAAAGTAAGGATAACATTGTCGGAATGATGTGCATTTTCCTATTACCCCTTTAGCTGTAAAACATTGACCGGTTGTGGCAATATTGTTTAATGAATTCGTATTAATTGTACTCCAGACTTGTGGTATCAGAAACGGGTTGTAAACAGGTATTGCAGGACCCCTAAAAAGAAATTGTCTGCCATTTTTGGCTCTTGATACGTCTAAAAAATATAACGTATTATTTATAAATTAAAAAATGTACCCGACGAGTAAAATAAAATTTTAAAAAATGATAATAACCCGAGTCCACTGCAAATTTTGGCCGTCATCTGACAACGAAATGAAAATGTAAAAACATTGTTCTCTACCAAACGGCACCTGTGCCAATCACTATCCTGAGCAAAGTAGTTAGAAAAAAACATTTTGGTTATCTTAGAGACGACAAAAAAACTATGATTGTTTAAAAGAATTGTCTAACGTGGGTTTATAGTTATTATTGACTCCGTGGCAAATTATTTATCCAATTCCATCCTTCTTCCTTTCACAAACACACGCACGCACCCACACACATCCTTCCACCCACCCATCCATTTAATTGTTGTCATTCTCAAAAAGTTTTAAATAACGGGTCATAATTACACTTTAATTGAATTTGAGTATTAAGACAATTACCAGAATTCAGGTTCATCTCACGAAGGATCTCCAGATCCTCCAGTAGGTCCATTTTCTTAAAGTTGTTAAATTTTTGCTAAATGTTAGTTTACCCTTTGCCGAAAACGTCAATTTATGTTCAAATATATACTTCGGAGAAATAACCCGCATTAACCTAGGGGAAACGACACGTTGCGCGGAATTATCCCTTATGTATTTTTATTCTAACGGTTTTTTTTTTAATTAAAACACCACAAACATATACAAGAAAAACTACAAAAGGTCAGTGGAATTTGGAGCTATTAAAAATGATTATGAAGGCAATAGAAGTCGGATGAACAGTGAGGGAAGTGGTAGGACAGTTATGATGCCTACCAGATTCAACTTTAAGGGTTAAAAGAATGGTTAACAATTATAAGAAATCTGAGTTAGGGATTAGCAAATGTTTCGTACATATCTAAGGCATTTGGTCTATAATTTTGCAGTAAAAATGCAAATTAATCAGATTCGATAAGGAAAAGATGCTTGATGGTGATCATTTGATTGAACTCTTTTTAAAACGTAATGTATTCAAATTGGTCACATACTGAGAATAGAAGACGGAGTACAACTAAACTTGCTCTCAGTGTAATATCAATACCGACTCTACTTCTAGTCTATCAAAGATAAATCTGATAACGCGTTAATCGAGTCAATTTCACTCACGTTTTAGAACACTTTTAAAGCGTAACGTGTTGTTTTTAGGTCGATTTTTATTTTTTCCCAAAAAAGTTCAGATTAAGGGAAAACAGATTTTTCTTTAATTAGTGGTTAAAAGTGTTCAGTTATTAATTAAATAAAGTGGACTGTATAAAAATAACGTATATATTACAAAAAAATGATTACCAATACAAAATTAAATCTGTTACTAACTTTAACGTAAAAATGTCCAAAAGAACCTAACGGTTCGGTGGAGCCTGACTCTATCCGGTAACATCTGGGATTTGCGTAATATCAAACTACCCAGTGAATTATCCAAAAAGTGTGTAATATAGAGCCGAAAGTTTATGAATTTTTCTTTATGATAAACTGTGTAATCTTATTAAAATAAAGTGTTTTTTGATGTTACACCTGTAGCTCTAGCGTAATGACTGCATTGGATATCTTCCCGTGGTGTTTTAACCCGACTTTTATTTATTTTATTAAAATAGGTGTTGAAAAGTGTCTGGTAGTCTGTTGTTGGCCCCTTGCAAGATAGATAATATTTTTTAATAATTATGCCTATTACCTGCTGTATTCTAGGCTGTAAGTCTAATTTTAATATTGTTTTGAAACAAGAACAGGGTGGAAAGCTAATATCCATTTTATTAATTTCTAAATGACGATAATTTAAGACAAAAATGGTTAAATACAATTCTTAGGTCTAACTTTATTCCTTCAAAGATAGCAGTAGTCTGTTGTTAACGTTT